TAAGGCTAAGGCTAACATAGAGCAAGGCTAGCGCTAAGGTTCTATCCCTTGGGGGTCGGCGGCTGCAGGCGGTAGCCTGGTAAATAACATTATATATTAGGGAGTAGATGCTAAAGAAAAACACATAGCAAGTCGATACATTGACATACAATGACCAGTCGTGTATGATCTAATATTAAGCAAATTGCAACAACAACAACAACAACCACAACCATAAATTGATGCCCTGTTCACCCCATAGAGGGCCCGGAACCCGGGCTCCTACCTTCTCAGCCCGAAATTCGGACCTACCTATCCCAAACAACCACCAACAACCCATCAAAACACCGAACCTGTACCGGAATACCATGGAGGTCGGACTGGAACCCCCAACTACTCCAGGACTCTTCGCCGGTCGAGTCCCCACTAACCCAAGTGTCCACTCCCCTGTGCCGCGGCGTTGCGGCGCACCACCAGGCGCGCCAAGACCAAGAGCGACGCATTGAAGGTCGCAGCGACCCACAGGACCTCCCCACCTGCCACGTGCCGGTCGCAGCAGGACGCGGACGCGGAGGGGCGCGAGTGGCACTTCGAGGTTCGGTCGACCCAGATCTGCGCGCCGGTCGCTCTGGGAGGACCGAGGTCGGAGCGAGGTACACATCGGAGAGACTGAACCCGGAGCCAAACCGATCGTGGAGCGTGGGTTTCCTGGGTATGTGTATGAAAGGCGGCTATACTATACTCATGCGCGCTGGGAGACAAGTTGGAATCATTTCCAAGTTGAATTCGATCACAGTGAGGAGGAACTCAGCCAGCTGAGCTTCTTGCTTGCTTTCAGGTGGACCTCTTGAGGATATTTCCATGGAAGATCATGGAAGAAACAAATTACTCATAATCAAGATCTTCCCCCATGAGAACCACCTGAAGTAGAACCAATTGCTTGATATTCCATCCACAGGCCCCAGGCAGGCATCATCCATGTGTCCCGGAATCGGCATGGACCTCCAAGTAACCCGCGCAGATGTCCGAGAGCCAGGGCGGCCGACTGGATGAAGTAGCTCAAGATGCCCAGCAAGAGCCCAGTACAGCAGACGATCTGGACCTTGAATCAATCCCGGGCGTGTGCCAGCTCACGCGACCAAAGCAAGTCCAGCGTTCCACCGACACCGGGCTCACCCGGCCCACAGATTCCGGGCACTCAAGTGGAAAAGGCTTTGGAGGACCCCTGCGTTTCGGTGTCGGATCCAGAGTTTGGGATTCTGCCGGGATGCATGGATCCACCGCCAGGTTCGATGGCCAGAAGCAAGTTCGGAAGGTCTGTGCGAGGTGGAGAGTTGTTTGGGGCGGCTTGATCCAGCCATGCATGTTCCACGAGTTCTGATTGAACTAGTTTTCCAGAAACTCTGATTGAACTGAACCGTGTCTGTTTCGCCGTTTTTCTGTGGTTGTAAACCCTCCGCGAAATCGGACATACCCGCTGAGGAGGTGATTAGAGACACTTTTACATAGGCATGGAAGGTAGGGAATGGCTGTCAATCCAGATCAATCACCTCCAGTCTTAAGCTGCTTATAAGCTCTCTCGCTGGACTCTCTCTTCCTCTCTTGAATATATAATATATAGCTGCTAAGATTAAACAACTCCAAAGGCAAAATCTGAAAGTTGGGCCCAGCAGCATAGGCCTTGGAATTCCCAGCATTCTGCTCTTGGAAAGTCCTAAAGGGCATTGAAACACCAATTAAAATGACGCGAACAGGTTCGAGCCGTGCGAACTGAATCAAAATTGATTCATTGAGTCACCGAGATTTCCAAGACGGAGTGTTCTTGAGGGGCCCATTACCTCATCAAAGAATCGCCGTCGGATAATATACATGGGGTACCCAACCAATTTTTGTGAGACTCTGAGATTTCTGGACTGATTACAGATCGTGTGGCAAACTGACTGACTGACTGACCTGCTTCCCCTGCTTCAACATGAGATCCAATCTCTCTCACACAGCACTCCCGTGGATGATTCTAGGCCATGGGTAGGCCCCGCTGAACCCTGGCCCCGCTGTCCTGGCTGCCTGGCGGAACTTCCCATGAGCCTCGTGAGCCTCGTGCTCCTCATGCGCCTCAGACCTTGGGAGTGACGGGCGTCGAGACCCGTCGACATCGACATCGCACGGTGGAAGCACCATTTTGAAGCACAGCTGGGCCGCAAGACAACGACCGCGACCGCAAGGACTTTCCCCTAGCCAGCGACTAAGTCGTAGATGATTGGATATGATTGGACAGAATATATAGGAACTAATCAGAACTAATCAGGTGAAGTAAGTGGTATCATCCTGGATGCCGCGTTAATGAATTAGGCTTGCTAACCATCCCAAAGTACTCCACCCAGAATCCGCAGCCCTCTGAAGTGCTCATTCCCGTAACCTCCACGGCTGCTTCACGTCCCAGGCACAACAACGCTTCGCCACTGGGAAAGGCACCCATGGCGGCACCCGGCACTGGCAGTGTTCGCGGCCAAAAGCAGTGTTCGCCCCGTGAGGATGTGGTTTCGAAGAAGAAGCTCCCCTGCGCTCCCGAAAAACTCACCAAGAAACATTGAGCCAGTGGGACCCGTGGGATCAATCATCTCAAGTAAAGATAGTAAAGGTGTTCACACCTATACAGAGCTTAAGTGACCTGAACTAGGACCCGTAACCAGGGGTAACTATAGGCTATAGGATAGTCTAGTTCGGGTTCTGACCCACCTCTGCTGGCATTCAACAAATCTCTAAAACCGCTGCCGGTCTACGGATTCCCTCGTAGCTCCAACTACTTGGAGTCCGATGCTGTGCCTCGGTACGGTCGTCCACGGACCGAACCGGTGTCGAACCGAAAAGACTGAAGCCTGGCCAGGTGCAACCCAGTAGAAGCTCCTTTGACCTCATTGAGCACGTGGAAAAAAAAAATATGAACTCTATAGTCAAATGAGCTCAAACTGACCTGTGGGGTCTGGTGCTCTGAAATGGCTTCAGGCCCGTGCAGGAATTTGGAAAACACATTTGGTCATGGATAGAAGTATGTTGCCACTTTGACAGGTTCCAATGCTATGATCATGTATTGAACCATCTGTCGGTTTAACAGTATGTATATATGCTCAACAAATAGTTCCGTTGCCATCGTTATCATTATTGACGCCAAGTCATTTGAGCTGTCCTAGCTGTCTTGCAGAAACCTAGACCTCCTGAAGCAAATACTGTTTGCTTGCAATCGTGCCTTGGCTCTGCTTGAAACTAGCATGACAAAAAGACAAAACAAGTTTAGGCCAACGGCCAACATGGACTGAACTCATCTTCTTCAATGAAGTCAAAGTCTACTACTGGACGAGAAGTACGGTCCCTTACCAAAGCACCACCTTGCAGGGCTTGTCACTCTCATCTCATCTATGATTCCTAGCAATCCCACACTGGACTTTATGATCTTTATGCAAACTCACATCAGACACGCGGATGCTTTTTGGCTGTTAAAGTACATCCGCGTGAGAGAATCCCAGACTCCAAGCCACTACACAATCCTAGACGCCTCCTGCGTAGTCTTAACTCATGTAACACATGACCCCATGAAGACATGACCCCATGAACCCTTGCACCCTCCTGATCTTCTCCCCATCTTCTCCCAGATCTCGCTGGACTACGGCGCACTCCAGCTCATGGGCTTCCAATTTGCAGAACTGCTTGGGGTCTTCGTCGGGGTCCGCCGACCTCGCGCGGTCGGTACGGAGTTTCCACGGGTGCGGAAAGGGGACTGAGCGAATTACATTGGGAACATATTGGGAACATTTATACCCCTACACCAAACAGTCATATGAGTACTCATCACTCAATAACACCTCATTACTGTACTCAGAATAATATGTTCAATTACATTGGAGTACTCATAACATCTCCAAACACCATCCATGCGACTGCACCAATGGTCCTTGGGAATGATGGACTCGAACGCGCGGGCGAGGGGAACGCGCGGGCAATGATGGCATCGATTCCAAGTCTGCACTGTTTGGTTCATAGTACAGCTAGTCGACCTTCTCCCATAGTCTCATGGAGGTTCCACTTTCAGCTCTAGAGCTCATCAGCAGTGCTGGGAGGCGAGGTGACAAACGGTGCCCTATCTGGGAGCATCCCTTTCTTGCTCCCTGGAGGTGCTTCCCTGGTCACTTGATGTCACAGTTAACATACTGGTGGTTCAACAAATGAACTGTTTTGGGATCCAGGTCGCCCGTTTTGGGATGAGACCCATGTAGTCTTGCTCTCAAAACTTGTAACCAACAAAATTCCCCATATGAGTTTACCCTGTTGACATTCTATTGGGCGTACCCCGGCCTAGCCCTACCTACAACAGTGTAACAGTCTTTGTTGTTTGATACAATGGCTCTATAGGCTCGAACCAAACTCTATGTGTTGCTTCGGGCCCGGATTCTTAGGGTAGAACATATCTGAAAATCAGAGCCTGTGGCGTCTGATTTCTGTCACGCACAGCTCTTTCGCGCCCCGACATGAAGGCCACGATGTCAAGGGCGGTGAGTCGTGTTTGTCGCCTGGAGAAGCAAGCGTTCAGCGTTCCTCCAAGTTTGTCGATGGATGAGCGTTCCGCACGTCTTCTTCGATGGGAGGGGTAGAGTGTGCCATCCAAATCTTCTGGCATCCCTGTGATTGAAACACGCTTTCTAATTCTACTCCCCAATAAGTATATATTAATGTTCTAAACATTGTGGCTGGCGTCTGGATGGAGCGTACTCGGAAAAGGACAGTTTTTCTGCATGAAACACCCCAGCAAAGCCAGCGTGAGGGAGGATCTGAACATAGCTAAGTGGACTGATCAGTCACCTGAAGACCATCCGACTAGTGGATCTGTGTTGTCTCACACCTTCTTTCCAGCCCAAAAAGTTATGGACATGTCATGTTCTTTGGGCATATTAATGCCAAACACTGCAGCCCAACCTGCCCACACCCCAACTCACCCGGGCGGCCTAGATGAGACAAAGATCAAGGTGGGTTTGATGCCATCCTTAGCATCGAGCCCTGGCAGCCATACCACGCAACGTCAACCAACTCTCGCGGACCCGCGTTCCTTCTTTTTTGGTAACCAAGCAAAGTTTTACTTGTTGGAGTCACCAGAAAGGAGGAAAAGTAAAGGTGAACCATCTTCGGGGAATTTGTTGGGTCATATAATTCAATGAAACACCATGCGTTTTTTTCATCACAATCCCTTTCGCCGGTGTATCCAGCAACAGTTTCTTCATCGGAAGTGGTCCCAGGTATGTCCAGACATGGCCTAATTCCGGTGTTGTTCTTGTCTTTTTGGAATGAAATTGGTAGGATGATCAGATCTATTCAGATCTGCTCAACGCCTGAGGCGTCCACCGGATGGCTCACTTTCCTTGGTGCCCCCGCATGCTTCACTGCATGGTTCTTGATGGCATGGAAGCAGGGCTTGTTCATCTGAGCCATACGAGCTACCTGGCGGTCGTGGCGGTCCGGCTACCTGGCGGTCCGGTGTGGTGAAAGTGCTGGTGGAGTTGTAGCTTGGAGGATATTTGTATTGGTTGGGTCAGTCTATCCATGGTCTATCCTATTACCTGGTAACAGTGGATGATAACTGTTTACTGACTGTTACAGGTACTAGGACAACCCCCATGTATCGGTAATCAGCCTGTAGTTGGAACAACTGCCATCTGGAGGCCACACCAGCCTACTTGTTCGATCTGAGCAGTTGCTTCAATCCAAACACAAAGAAGTAACAAACCCCGAAGGACAAAAACAGGTAGTTGTTGTTGGCATGTATTTCTTTCGTTCGGTCGCTACCTGTCTGGAAGGAACCAAGAGTTGACTGATCCAACACAAGCCACGCTTGAGTTTGTGCCCCGGAATTCATACGCTTGGGCCCAAGTAGTTTTGGGGGCCTTGAACCTCCAGTTTTGAGACCCCCCAAAACGGTCTGGCTTCGATAGCCTGACCCACTCTGATGTGTTCGGAACCCTGGCGTTCCCAATTCTTACAGGGCAATCTTCACCCACAATGCAGCCTGCTTCCGTGCAGAAGAGAAGTTCAGATCCCCACTGGACACCGTTTCCATCTGTTTGGCGATCCCTATAACCCTTGTTTTGGGGGAAGAAACATGTGCAAAAGAAATTGATGACCTCGGATGAACACCACACACGAGGAAAAAACATCTGAGAGATGCACTGCTGCAGGTCGCATTGCATCCGAGTTGCAAAATGTTTCTCTGGATAGCCCTGGATGTGCGCAGTCATTGGCACGGGCCTGCATCCGAAGTGCAGAGGTCACATCCCGAATCTGGATGAGAACACAATTGACTGACAAGAATCGTTTGGTTATAACTGGACTCTCATCTGGGGCCCCATTATGTTTAACCTGCTGACATATAATGCGTAAACTCGACGTAAACTACCACCAAAAGCAACAACGCCACACTCGCACTCACACAGTTTAATCTTGCACCACGCCCTTGGCCTGTTATAATTGACTTGATGCAGGAGATAAACCTGTTTTTTCTCTGGAAACTCAGTCCCGTATTACTATTGACCTCCTGTGGTTCTTGCACAGCTTAGTATTCAAGACTAAAAAAAAATCTTGGATCCCCTGCCCTGGACTCAATATTCAAGATTGAAGATTCAAATAGAAGATCTTGGATCCCCAGCCCAAGAGTTCAAGATTCAAACAGAAGTTCAGTTGAATCTTGAATCCAGGGCTGGGGATCCAACAGCCTCTGATTGAATCTTGAATCTTGAACCCTGGGCTGGGGATCCAAGAGCTCCTATTTGAATCTTGAATCTTAGACCTTGGGCTGGGGATCCAAGAGCTTCTA